TGACGAGCGAGAAGAAGAGACGTCGGAAGTGTCTTGGAAAAGGCGGAGGAATAGACGTCGGAAGCGGCAGCATCGTCATGAGAAGGTTTACGGCAGTGTCGCTGGTTAAAGAGGCGGAGGAAGAAACATCAGAAGCGGAGGAAAATACATCTGACATAATTGGGTAAAAAGCTAAAGAAATCCAAGCTAAAACAACAACAATGATAAAAAACAAAAAATCGGCGGAAATTAGGGTTTATATGTCGCAAAGATGAGAAATGAGATAAATATAAATTTAGGAAGATATTTCTTAAATTTATGAAGGTTTTTCTCAAACGTATAAATTAAGAAAATCATTACATGTATTTAGGAAAGCTTTTATAAATCATATAATTAATTGTTTTTTTTGTTAATTTATACAACTCAAATTCAGGAAGCCCTTCAAAGAAACATTTCCACAATTTTGGAAACCCTTCCACAATTCAGGAAGCTCTTCCACAATTCGAGAAATTTTTTAAAATTACTAAAGATTTCATAAATCATATGAAACGATGTTAAATTATAGTAATTGGAATATCTTCCTGAAAAATTACGAAACATTAACAGAAAAAAACATTCAGGAAGATCTTCGTAAAGGGAAAAATTGAAAAACTCAAATAAAAAATGTTAGAGGTGGAAATTTTTTAGCTTCACTATTATAGTATAATTATGGAAATTACCCTAAAAAGAATGAAATACATATAAGAAAATAAATAATAATTTTTGTTTCTACTTAAACTTTATAAAAAATACTTTTGTTCTATAAATCCATCAAATAAGAAAGAATAAGATGGAATGATACAAAACAAATCAATACAACAATAACACAAGTGTCTCTCCTAGCGATGACACCTCAGTTTTTTTAAGCTTTATAAACATGACACTTCAGCAAAAAAATCATCAATCAAAACTTTTATTAATACAAGTCATCTATTTATTTTAACTTTTAAATTTAAACCCATTAAAAACCCAAATATTTTTTATTATTAATTTTAGTTTTATTTTTTTGACCAAATCCAAGCTCAAATAATAAATAACAACAAATAAAAAAAAATCTTTGTTTTTTTTTTCCAAACCCAAGCCCAAATAATAAATAATAACAAAATTTATTTTTTTTGCCAAATCCAAACAATAAATAATAGCAAATTAAAAAATTAAAATGTCTAGCTACATGTTTGCTTGACAAAGAGATGTATAATTGAAGAAAATGTAAGCCCAGCATAAACTATGCTTCGATGGCAACAAAACAAAAACCGTATGTTATAAGAAGCTCACACATCAGCAAAAATTTGAACTAATAAAAACATAACAATAATACATATCATCAACACAATAATAAAATCAAATTACTATTTTGCTGACCCATTAAAAAGTCCAAAGTTTGCAAAAATTGAAGGTCAAAAGCAAAGGAGGAGAAGCTCAGACCACGACAGCTTGGAGATTCGCACTTCCGGTGGTTACCGAGAACAAATCAATAACTTTTCGATTATTCTCTGTCGCTAAGCCTCACATGAGAGCTTTCCATCTCTCATGGTTTCAATTATTCTGCTGCTTTGTCTCTACTTTCTCAGCTTCGCAGCTCAGGCTTCCTCCCAGTCATTCGTGAAAACCTTAATTTCAGCACCATCACCATTGACATCGGAAACGCCGGAATCACCTCTGTTTCTGGCTCGGTCTTCACTCAGTTTCTCTGGTTTTGACGTGAAAGAAAAATTACATGGTTTGAACAAGATAACAAAAATTCTTGGGAAAAGAAAAATTCTCGGTTTTGACGAGAAAATGAGATTTCCCGATTTTGGCGAGAAAAGGAAATTTTTCGGTTTTGACAGAAAATAAAATTTTCCAGTTATGATGGGAAAACAAAATATCACGGTTTCAATTGGAAATGCGAATTCTTGGTTTTGGTGGACAATGCAATTTTTTTTGTTTTGATGGATAATGCAATTTCTTGGTTTTCGCTAGAAACTACGATTTCACGGTTTTTGCAGAAAATGCAATTTGACAATTTTGGTAGAAAAATGCAATTTTTCAGTTTTGTTAGAATAACACGATTTCTAGGTTAGCAAGAAAACAAATTTTCTCGATTTTGATGGAAATAGGGAATTTCATGGTTTTTGCGGGAGTAGGAGATTTTTGGTTTTGGCGGGAATATATAATTTTCAGTTTTGGTAGAAAAACGTAATTTCTCAGTTATGGCAGGAAAATACGATTTCTCGGGTTTGGCGGAAAAATGTGTTTTTCGGTTTGGGAGGGAAAACAAAAAATTCAATTTTGACGGAAAACAAAATATCTTTGTTTTGACGGGAAAATGGGATTTCTCGGTCTTGATAGGAAATGCAACTTTTCGATTATGATGGAAAAATATAATTTCTCGGTTTTGATGGGAAATGCAAATTTTAAGTTGACAGATAATGCGATTCTTTGGTTTTCGTGAGAAAATAAGATTTCTTAGTTTTCGCGGAAAAATATAATTTGACGATTTTGGCAGAAAATGCAATTTCTCGGGTTGAAGAGAAAATGAAATTTCTCGGTTTTGGTGGGAATAAGCAATTTCTTAGTTTTATGGAAAATGCAAATTTACATTTTTTTTGACGGATGTAATTTTTTAGTTTTCGTGGAAAAATGTGATTTCTTAGTTTTCGCGTAAAAACGTAATTTCTCGCGAGATAATACAATTTTTGGTTTTCGTAGAAAATGTAATTTCTCGATTTTGGTAGGAAAACGTGAATTTTGGTTTGACAAAAAACTGAAATTTCTTGGTTTTGGCGGGAATAGACGATTTCTCGATTTTTGTGGGAAAATTATTTTTTCAATTTTGACGGAAATTTTTTCGGTTTCAGCACGAAGATGAAATATTTTGGTTTTGGGGAGAGAACGTGATTTCTCGGTTTTGGCAGAAAACACTGGTTCTCGTGGGAAAATGTGATTTCTTGGTTTTTGCACGAAAATGCAATTTCTTGGTTTTGGTGGGAAGATGAAATTTTTGGTTTGAAGAGAAAATAAAATTTCTTGGTTTTGGCGGGAATAAGCAATTTCTCAGTCTTCTTAGAAAAATAAATTTTTTTTTGTTTTAACGGGAAATGCGATATTTCAGTTTTTGTAAGAAAATAAAATTTCTTGTGGTAAAATTTTAAGTTACCATATGTTTACAGTAACCAAAATTAAATTATTTAACTTTTGCTAAATTGTTATTTCAATAGTTCAAACATATTTTTTTATTTAGTTCTAAAGCAATAGCAATGGTTTTGATATGAATATTATTGATTATAGTTTGGTAGTTTTAGAAACATAAGTTTATAATAAATATTTGATAAATAAATAAATTTTGTAATTCAAAATATTCATAATAATTAATAAATCTTATTTTAAAGTGGCATTTTGTTTTATTTAAATATAAGGAAGGATCAAGTGGCAATTTAGTGAAAAAAATAGATTATATTTGCCATTAGCATGAAGGTACTTAAAAATATATTATTTTATTTTTAAATATACATTTTTAGTTAGTTAGTTAAACAAATTTGATAGTAAATTATAATTTTGAAAAAAGACAAAAAAATTAAGGATATAATGTTTATACTCATTTAAAACATATAAATACATAACTTAAGATAATAAAATAAATAAATATAATATTCATTTATATTATAAAAATAATTTTATTATATTAAAAATATATACAAAATTTAGAAAAATATTCCGCAGCATAGCGCGGGTAGTTACCTAGTCAACATAATAATCTGTACAACAATAACACCAATGTCTCTCCTAGAGATGACACATCAGCATTTTGGAGCTTTTTGAAGATGACACCTCAGCAAAAATATTCACCAATCAAAATATTTTATTAATACAACTCATCTACTTATTTTAATTTTTAAATTTTAATCCATTAAAAATCCAAATACTTTTTCTATTAATTTTTGTTTTATATTTTACCAAACCAAGCCCAAATAATTAACAACAATAAATAAAAAATATTTATTTTATTATTACCAAACTCAAGCCCAAATAATAAATAACAACAAATAAATAAAATTAAATCTTTGTTTTTGATTGGCAAACAATTTTCTGTTTTTGATGGATTATGCGATTTCTTGGTTTTCGCATTAAAATACAATTTCACAGTTTTTGCGAAAAATTGCAATTTGACGATTTTGGCGGAAAAATATAATTTCTCAGTTTTGTTAGGAAAACATGATTTTTTGGTTCGACGAGAAAACAAATTTTCTTGGCTTTGGCGGGAATAGGGAATTTGTCTGTTTTACCGGGAATAAGGGATTCTTGGTTTCAGTAGAAAATGTGATTTTCAGTTTTGATAGCAAAATATAAATTCTCGATTATGGCGGAAACAAGCGAATTCTCGGATTTGGCGAGAAAATGTGAATTTTTTGTTATGGTGAGAAAACAAAAAAAAAATTGATTTTGAAGGGAAAACAAAATATCTTAGTTTTGATGAGAAAATGCTCGGTTTTGATGAGAAATGCAACTTTCAATTTTGACAAAAACTGTGATTTCTCAGTTTTAATAGGAAATGCAAATTTTCGGCTTTTGACGGAAAATGCAATTTCTTGGTTTTCGCGCAAAATGTGATTTTTTAGTTTTTGCGGAAAATTAGAATTTGACGATTTTTGGCGGAAAAATGCAATTTCTCGGTTTGATGGGAAAAAAAAATTTCCCAATTTTGGGGGGATAAGCAATTTCTTGGTTTATATGGAAAATACAAATTTTTAGTTTGTGGCGAATAATGTGATTTTTTGTTTTCGCGGAAAAATGCAACTTCTTAGTTTTCACGGGAAAATACAATTTCTCAGGAGATAATGCAATTTTTGGTTTTTGCAGAAAATTGTAGTTTATTTGTTTTAGTAGGAAAGCGTGATTCTTGGTTTGGCGACTGTGGTAAGCGTCCTAGACTCCTCCCTGGGTCACACTTCGAAGGACACGAAGAGATTGTGTATCTTCACTGTGACGTTACACGAACCTCGATGACTTGTGACGGTCTGGTTTGCTTCCTTGAGCAAGATTGGATCATCGTTTTAAACCCATCGACCGGACAACTCCGGAGATTATCTTCCGGGCTAAACCCTAACCATGAGTGCACATTTGGGTTTGGTAAGTAACCTTATATTAGAGAAAAATATGGGTTTTTTTAAGTTTTTTTTTATTAGAGATTGATAAAAAATTGAATCTTTTTTTCAGGACTATGGTCGAGTTTCTTTCCAGATAAATGGGTCATGGGATTCGGTAGAGACAAAGTCACAAGGAGGTTTAAAGTGGTGAGGATGTGTTTTTCTTACAGGGGCGACATTGGTTAAAAGGATCATGTAGTGGAATGTAGGGTTCTTGATGTTCAAACTGGTGAATGGAGGAAACTAAGGGGACGACCTCCTTATGTTGTCAACGCGGGGAGTAAATCGGTATATATGAACGGATCTATCTACTGGTTGCACATTGATAGGGCACATGTTGACAAGCGTTTCAAGATACTAGCATTGGATCTTCACACACAAGAGTTCCACAATTTCTCGATTCCGGCAATATGGGTCACGTGGGATAAGCAGATAGTGAACCTCGAGGACTACCGTATAGCCATAGCCAGAACGAAAATTGGGCCTAGGCGGTCTACTTGGAGACTAGAGATATGAAGCATGGATACACGTCAAGAACAGTGGAGCAACACTTACACCATAAGTTTAGCCAGTCTAAGGTTTAAATCATGTGGGCGGAATTGGTTCACGCTCGTGGCGGTTTCTAAGCAAGGGAATCTTGTCTTGAATGACAATCACAAGCGGCTGTTCAAATATTATCCAGGGACAAATAAGATTCTTTGTCTCTCCAATGACACTTGTGTTATAACTACTTAATTACTTTGAAACTTTGGTCCCTCTTCCTATAAAACCAAGCCATCCGCTTCCTGATCCGGTAAAGTCTGATTCTAAAATCTGCCGCTTGTTGTCCAAGGAGCCAGGTTCTTGGATATTTAAAGTTTTGCAAAGGAATGAATACAGGATCCTTGAAGTTTTGTTTGCATCTCTAGTAATATTAATGTCTCTCCATAGCGACACCTCAGCTTCTCAATTCTAAATTCAAGCCCAAATATTTTTCTGTTTTTTTTTTCTTTTGCTAAACTCAAGCCGGGAAAATCTCTCATGCTTTCTCCATGATGTAATCCAAGTAAGAATCAAAAATGTAACACAAGTAAGAAATGAAGATTAGGTTTTTGTCTTTCTTCTTAATCCAGAGCGTGAAGCCACGCTTCTCCTCCGGCATTGGTCTCTACGCAAAGGTCTGACTTTGTGTCTGTGTGATGATGTGTACCCAGACGACGGTGACGCTGTTAAAGGTGTCGATTTTTTCCCACGGTGTAGCTGTCAAATTTCATCTCCGGTGATTTTTCCAGACTTTTGTTTTCTGTAGTAAATTGCGCTTGTGTGATTGGTAACTCGAAACAGAAGTTTTCTGAACTTATTGGCCTAATTACTTTTAAGATTCCTTGAGCATGCTTTAAATCTTTGTCGATTGGTTTCGTAATTTGTTAGTTCAAGCACTGAGTGGGAAAGTGTTATATAATTATGGAATATAGAGATTAAAGGTTCGTTCCAGTGATTAGATGATTTGGTTCCTTCACGCATTTGTTTGTTCACTTTATGCCAAAGTAGGAAGAATTCCTTGTGTATTATTGATAATGTATACAAGTATATATAGTATAATGTATTAGGTATCAAAAGATATACGAGAATATTAACATATCTAATGAGAATATATCCTTACTCCTAACACCCCCCCTCAAGTTGGTGCGTGCAAATCGCAAACGCCCAACTTGCGCATTGGATACCGAAATTGTGGACGTCCAAGTGCTTTAGTGAAGATATCAGCAGGCTGCTGAGTGGTGGAGACATGAGAAAGAACAAGATTCCCAGTAGTAATCTCATTCCGAATAAAATGACAATCTGACTCAATGTGTTTAGTTCGCTCGTGAAACACCGGATTGGAAGCAATGTGAAGTGCAGACTGACTGTCACAGACCAGCCGCATTGGTGTATCATGGGTTACACCAAGGGAAAGTAACACTTCTTTAACCCACAACAGTTCTTGGCATGTCATTGCCATAGCGTGATACTCAGCTTCAGCAGACGATCGAGAGACACGGTCTTGTTTCTTTGTCTTCCAAGTAACAGGGGAATCTCCGAGTTGTACCAAATAGCCAGTTAAAGAGCGTCGAGTAAGCGGACAAGCCGCCCAATCAGAGTCGCTATAAGCTGTAAGTTGTAGGGACGAAGCGGATGAGAAAAGAATACCTTGTCCAGGGCAGCCTTTTAAGTAACGAACCAATCGAAGTGCAGCAGTCCAATGATCTGAGAGAGGTATTTTCATGAACTGAGCAAGCATGTTAACAGCATAAGATATCTCAGGCTTTGTATGAGTGAGATAGGCCAGACGCCCAACAAGCCTGCAATATTTGTCAGGCTCCGGAAACGGTGGACTCGTGGAATAGGCTAACTTGTGATTTTGCTCAAGAGGTGTTTCTGCAGGACGAGAACCAGAGAGGCCACATTCTTCAATAACATCAAGACAGTATTTTCTTTGAGACAAGTAGATACTTGCAAGACTTCTGGCGACTTCAATACCGAGAAAGTACTTGAGAGTACCAAGATCTTTCATTTTGAAGCAGTTGCTGAGATAGACTTTGAAGTTTGCAATAACAGAGGTGTTATTCCCACAAATAACGAGATCATCTACATAAACGATGATATAAAGCACAATAGTTCCTCGAATGTAAGAGAAGAGCGAGTAGTCTTTCTTCGATTGAGCGAAACCATACTTAAGTAGCAAAGCAGACAACTTTTCAAACCAGCAGCGAGGCACTTGTTTTAGCCCGTATATCGACTTCTTGAGCTTGCACACTAGATTAGGATCCGATGTACGAAATCTAGGAGGTGGCTTCATATAAATATTAAATCGCCATGTAGGAAGGCATTATGAACATCCATTTGATGGAGTTCCCAATTCTTTGCTGCAGCAACATCAAGAAGAAGTCTGAAAGTTTGCATTTTCACCACAGGAGCAAAGGTTTCTGTGAAGTCAATACCTTCTTTTTGATGATTTCCCAACGCTACCAACCGTGCCTTGTAGCGTTCAATCGTACCGTCTGAGTTGTATTTAATCCGAAATACCCATTTCGAGCCAATGGCTTTAACACCGTGAGGTAGTTTCGTGATGTCCCAAGTTCCTTGATCTTCAAGGACATCTACTTCAAACGATACAGCATTTCGCCACCCTTCATCTTTGACAGCTTGGTTGTATGTTAGAGGTGCGTCGAACGAACTGATAGCCGCCATGAAAATTTTGTGATTGTCCGAGAACTTTTGACAAGTGAAGAAATCCGCGAGAGGATAAATGCAGGAGCCAGCGTTGTCTGAAGAAGAAACAGAGGAGTCATGTAACTCGCATTGTGCTGAATACGTGACAAAGTCTCGAAGCAGCACGGACTCTTGACGATCGCGTTGACTGCGACGGGATGGTTCAGGTGGCGGTGCACGTGGTGCACGCGGTGCAGGTGGTGCAGGAGGTGCAAGAGTTGTAGGAAATGCAGGAGTTGCAGGTAAGACAGTCGGAGAAACTGAGAGAGTTGTAGGCGAGTTAATTTCGGTAGTGGAAATAAAGTTTCTAGCCGGAGACGAAGCATCAGAAACTGTGGACTGAGAGGTTCAGGTATCAGCAGAGGAGATGCCATCGTAAATTCATCATCTTCAGAAATAATGATGGGAGGTGAAGCAGGAAGCATGACCAAAGTTGATGAATCTGCAGTCTTAGAAGCAGCGAATAGAAATTCTTGTTCCTGAAATATAACATCGCGTGAGTTAAAATCCTCACAAATATAACATCGCGCAAACCTCACAAATATCTGATAGATCAGTAGTACAACTGTCAAAATCCTCTAAAGTAGTTAAAATAGATGATAAAACTTTCGGTGATGGATGTCCCAGCCGTAAGTGCCATAAACCTTTATCTGACTTCCGCTTCACGACATTTGCCTTAGCTGAAACTGCTCCTTGTAGATGATAAACTCCATTCCTCTCTTTACCAACTCCAATCAGAGTCTTCGTAGTGAGGTCCTGTATGACGTAAACTTTATCAGTGAATATAGCATAGCAGTGTAGTTCACGCAACAGACGAGCAACAGAGAGAAGCGTGCGGGAGAGATCAGAGACAAACAGAACACGAGTGAGTGTCATTGTATCTCCAAGGACTAGAGTCCCTGCTTTGGTAGCAACTGTATGCTTAGCATTAGGAAGAACGACAATACTATGCGGGATGTCATAAATATCAGTAAGAAGATCTAAGAAGCCAGTCATATGATGAGAGGCTCCCGAGTCAAGGAGAAAGTTGACACAATTTGTCTTACTAGAGAGTTTTTCAGACGATGCATTGCCAGGCTTTAATATGTTGATGATAGCAGACCACACCTCTTTGCTAATGCCCGGAATGTCTGGAAACTCGCTGGAAGTAGTAGCTTGAGCATTGTTAGCTCGATAGGTAGACCCGCGGCCTCTGCCTCTGCCACGGACAGAGCTGTTCCGTCCATGACCCCGTCCTGTTCCGGTGTCACCAGACTTCTCAGTAAACCATTCGGGAGTGCCGTGGAGTTTAAAACATGTGTCAACATTGTGATTTGATCACCCACAATGTGTACACGGTCCTTGATTGTTAACGCGAGTAGCAGCAGCAATGGCATTGACGCTAGTCTGAACAGCAAAGCCAACTGCATCTACTCGTTCTTCCTTGCTCCGTGAAACTGTTAAGTGTCGTTCTTTAGCGATAACTTCAGAATAGATGTTATCAAGATTAAGTCCAGAATCTCGACTCAAGCGACCAAGAATATTGGTGCGAGTTGTGCCAAACTTTGCAGCATCGAGACCCATGAGGAATTGGTGAATCCTCTCGTGATCACGACGTTGCGTCTGGCGAAGCATATGAGGGCAGTTGGGATTATCACAACAGCAATTCATAAGAGGTTCGTAGTCATCAAGGTCGTCCCACATGACTTTGAGCTTTCCGAAGTAGTCAGCAACTGCTTGTCCACTTTGACGACAAGCGGCGAGATCTGCTTTGAGTTGGTGCACACGAGAAGCATTACCAACCGAGAATCGATTGCGTAAATTTTCCCAAATGACCTGTGCATTGTCAACGATGGAGATAGTAGGGAGATGCTGAGATTGCATCTTTATCTTGAGTAGTAGAGGAAGATTTTTCACCTGTTTTAGGCATGATGAGAAATCGAAGAAAAAAGAGATTTATGGTTTTTTTTTTAGGTTTTAGGTCTTTGGTGGCTCTGCTACCATACCAAAGTAGGGAGAATTCCTTGTGTATTATTGATGATGTATACAAGTATATATAGTACAATGTATTAGGTATCGAAAGATATACGAAAATATTAACATATCTCTAATGAGAATATATCCTTTTCCTAACACTTTACCTATTTATGAAGTTTTATGGTGAAATTAGTGACAGATGATAATGGAACAATGTTGAGATAAGCAGCTAACTATCATTCGTTTGTGCTTTCATTCAGTTTAATACAAAAGTAGTTGTATAGCAAAAAAGTTCATTAACACCTATTTAATTGTTTTCATAAACGATT